CGATTTTATAGATGCGAAAATATGATTCATACTTTCTAAAATAAAAAAAAATTGGTGTATTGTTTGAAAATTTTCCAATAATCGATAGTTCTGTGCTTTTAAAATGATCACGTGGATTAAATTGTTTTAAGATAATTAGTTACTCTTCTATTTGGGGGTGAAACGAAGACCTCTAGCTGCTTCTTATTCAGTGGAAGTAGAAGCGAAAGAAAAATTAATTATTGAGTAAAAAAATGAAAAATATACACATTTATATATATAAATATTTGTAATATTCTACTTTATCAAAGAACATACCTGGAATATTCTTTATTAAAATATAGAAATTTAGAATAGTCCTCATCAAAATGTCCTTAAAAGAGTCTCATCAAGTTATTAGGAAAATTTAAAGATGAATAATTTTATCAGGTTATTCGATTCTCTTTAATGTTCTCCACGCATAATTATATCGACTAAAACAAGGATTCGAAACTTTTGAGTCGCCGCTTCTCATTAAGAATTTAACTCCATAAATTGGAAGCTCATCACATGGTTAAACTTATAAAGTGCAGCAGAATCCATCAGATATATTTAAAGATGCACGAATTAACGTTTTGGTGACAATTTACAAATCTATTCTGCACTTTTCCCATTTTCTTTAAAGTGGTTTACGTCTTAACAAACGGAGAGTAACGAGATCAAGAACCAAGTTAGTTCAATTTTAATAATAATAATACATATTATTATTATTAATAAATANTTTAAGATAATTAGTTACTCTTCTATTTGGGGGTAAAACGAAGACCTCTAGCTGCTTCTTATTCAGTGGAAGTAGAAGCGAAAGGAGTTGTTAAAAGTATTTTATATGTATACAAACGACTTCATGAAGAATACTTTTAATTTTCAAAAGTATCTTCCAACAACGTGCTGTTTTTAAATTCAAAGTATTTTTTTTTCTTAAGAAACGGCATTGAAACCAATGGCTTAATATAGTAACTAATAAATTCGCCTCTCCACTCATCTCACGTTTTCCCATCTCTTCTTGGCATGATATTAACAGCTATTTGTAAAACCAAACAGGCAAATCCAAATTCCGAAATATCTGTAAACACTCGACATTCCGAAACCATTCTTCAGTCGAAACTTTAACAATCTGAAGAGGCAGAAAATGCATTTAAAGTATGGCATTAAGTTTTAACAATTTCTGCGAAAAGAAAAAGGAAAAGAAAAAGCAAAGAAAGAAAAGACAACAGTCTCCAATAAAAGACAATTTGACTGTAAGGCGTGACTATTCCAAATCATGTGGCAAAGGAGACCAGCACGAGAGGAAACGAATAGTTCCGGTATCGGAAATGAACGGTGGCTATAGAACAATGCATTACTTCCACCTCTTCTGGACTGTCTAGCAATTTTTCCTTACCTGTTTCTCACAACTGTCTGAAAGATAGTTGGCTAGAGATAAGGAGAAAATGATCCCTAGAGCCAAACTAACAACATTCACACAATATACTATGTCGATAGGAATATCCATTTATCATGTCGACGACAACCCGAAGTAGATTTAAGCTTAAGTTTTTAACACCCACTTCTTCTTCTTTATATATATATATATTGTTCTTCTTATCCGCTAGGCACGCTTCAAGGATATAAGCACTTTTGTAATTAAGTAAAGTTTAAATTTATAACTCAACTAATTTCTATCGATTTAGGCCTATATTAAATTCAAACAGTGGTTAAGTTAGAGTTTGTATGTAAAAGATACTCATTTGAGCCTTTTATTATTTTAAGTGATATTGATATTTGTGAAGTTCGATGCCAGATTGTTTTCATTACTCGAATCGAGCAATAAGAAATGGATCTATAGCCATCTTCTCCGACAATAAATGTCTTATTCTAATGAATTTCTGGAAGTATATCGATGGGACTATAAAGTTGATCGATTGTTTTTAACTTTCCAGTTTTCTAACTACAGTTATTGTTTACAATTCATCGCGTTTTATAGACATCGATTCCCTTTCAAGTTTTAAAACTTTCCATTTCAAAAAAAAAAAATATTTAAACAATTTTTTAAATCTAAAATTTTCCATTCGTTATTGCTAAAGTCGTAGAGAGAGTATCGCTTTATGACCAAATTTAGAACGAACCGTTTATATTGAGTTATATATAAAACAACATTTTAATAAAGGAAGGAGTTTAAAAAATTAAAAATTCGGCATTTATTTCTTAAAAAAATCAGTAATATCTTTTAGATTTTTGCAACAGAAACGACGTCTTTCTATTGATTTATACATCTGAACATTGAACTTTGAGGAATTTCTATATCGGAATAAGTTACTGCAATATGTCGAAAAAGTGTCAATCTGTGATAGCAATACTGTTTAAAGAGTAGACAGGTAAATACTCATAGCGTACTCGTCCTACCTGTACAGATCGATTTTGTTGCAAAGGTTTAGTATCAGTGCAAACGCCGTCGTTTTGACGATCTGTAAACATTGCTGCACAGCTTCGTATAAAATTAGATGTGGATCCGACACGAAAATTTTCACCTAATAATTCCACACGATTTTATTTTCTATTGGAAATCGTTATATATGTATACATTTGCTACGAAAAACCTTGTTAATATTTGCTTAGTCATTAGATAGAAAGCTCCAAGGATAATGATAATATGTTTGAAAGCTTTAATGGATGTCTTACTTCCAAATTTGATACTATAATAAAATATGTGAATGGATTTTTAATTGTAACTATACATATTATAGACCTAGATAAACGAAGAAAATTCTTCTTAGAATTAAATAAGAATTAATTATTTGTTGCCGTCTTGTAAAAAACTGTATTCAAATGATTACTTTTTCATTTACTCGCTTGACAACTTAGAAGTCATTTTATTAATTACTTATAAATTAATTATGAAATTTTAATCCTTAAGGAACATATATGGAGTAGAAGCACGACGTTTTTACGTGATGTAGTAAATTACTATAAATTAATATTATTAATGACGGTATAGTAAATTATGGAACTTCGAAATTAATGTTTAGATATTTAAACTGTAGACACGAACGTAATTAAAACATTAAAATTAATGCTAATGCCTGGAGTTACAACTAAATATATACATGAATACTTTTTCTTCCAGTGAATTACTGTATATTAAGGGTAATATAAAGAAAAAAAAAATCGATTTATTGTACTTAATATGATCCAATCACATGGACAAAGAAATTACAACTTTGCTGAAAAGTAATCGAGGAAAGAAATTAAAACGTATTCTCCGTTTGAATTAAAATAATAACGTCCAAGTTAAATTCAAAGAAATTTATTGTTTTAAGAATTCCTCTTCTTAATTAAATTATATCGGAATTGTCAACGGGAATAATTTGTTTAGTATCTACAATGCGACGAACATAAAAAATAATTCCGTGCAATTTAAAACCCCTCTTTGAATAAATTTTAAAAAATAATAATTTTTACAAAAATTCAATCGATTATTTTAAATATTGAAAAATTTTTAGTTTCGTGATTAGTTTTTAGATGTTTTTACATGAGATCGACGTAACAAAAAAAGAATCAAAAAAAGTTATCTATTAGACGAAGGTGGAAGAAGCACCTTTAATTCGCAATCAACAATTGAACATCAATTGCTTCCAATCAGGAGTTTGTACACAAAAATAACGTTTCTGTCCAAGAGCCTATTGGCTAACACATTGCCCATCATGGTTCAATTTTCCAGAACATGCTTCGTTAGTCTCATTCATATCTGTGATATAACGGCATTAACGAAAAGCCTGAGGGACTTTACTCTGGAGAATAAGTTTCTCTAACGTCTGGAAACACGAAGAAAAAAATTAGTAAAATATCTTTGTGAAAATTTTCAAATTTCACTTATTTAAAAAAAAATTAAAATTTCAAATTTTAATCGATTTTATTTTTTTTCCCCTCATTTATATCCCAATGTAAGAAAGAGAATGCGATCAAGAAACAGTATTTTCTTTTGAATATTTTGGAATATAAATCGTTACAACAGTTTCGTATTCTTTACATAAAAAAATACGGTTTTAGTGTGTAATAATATCTGCAATTTTTGGATAATGAGTGGCACAACTCGGACGAAAACGATATTTTAATTAGACGATAGAAAAACCGTTACAACTGCACGACTAATTCATTTACTTCTTACTTCAAAAAATAAGTAGTCCGTATATGAAAATATTACTAAAATTTTGCTTAATGAATACCATAACTCGAATGAAGATAATGTTTTTAATTTGAAAATTAATTAAAAATATTTAAAAACAATTAAAATTAGAAACCTTTAGTTTTGTAAATAAATAATTTGTGTAGTTAAATGAAAATTTTGCGTACTGAATGGCATAATTATGAGAAAATAATACCGTTAATTAAATATTTTGCATACTTACAATAAAAATAAAGCTTAATATTAACAAATTTTGAGTAACGTATGGCACAGTTCGAAAACAATATTTTATCGAACGAAGCGAAAACCGTTACAACCGAACGTATTGTACCGTACGTAACTAATTGTATTGTTACGTTATAAAATCGAGATTGTTTAGTATACGAAAATATTAATAGACTTTGAGTAACAATAACACAAATTTGTGTAACTAATTATAAAAAAAATAAAGCTCAGGTACGAAAATATTGATAAATTTCGAAGAGCGAATGGACACAATTAGTAAAAGAACAATAGTTGCAATGGAAGAAAAGGAAAAGAGTAAGGACCACCTTCGCGTAATCGAATAATTTGGCAATTTCTTAAAGAAAAATGCACAAAGTAGGGTATATGAAAATATTAGCAGATATTGTATAGCGAATGGCACAAGTCGAACGACGTTAGTATAAATAATTCAAGAAAATTAGCATTAAATAAAGTTAGAAGGAGGCGAAGGTCCGACGCAGCAGATTGCGACTCCACCTCACCTGAAGCAATAGACTAAGCCGGTAATGCAGGCTGAACGGTTCGCCAGCAGACACACAACAGCTTTTGCCACAACCGGACGCATAAGTTCTCACTCAGCCTTCGTGACAAACACTCCAATTGATTGTGCCCTTCGACGATAAATACTTATCACCCGACTCGAAATGTATCCGAGACAACCCGTCAACTGCGAAAAGAAAAAGGTATTTTTTTCTAACCGCTATACCAAATTTTTCTATATATATGAATAGAACCTTAAGGTTTAAACGTAAAAGAAAGCTTTTGTACCTTAGCGTGTCACGTGGTCGCCTTTAATTGTTCTCGTACGTCATTTTTCACGTTTATTAATTTACCGAAGTTTATTTAATCTTCGATAAACGTTATATACGACATTTTTAAAGTCCATAATATAGTCCTGTCAATTTTCAATGGGAATAAGACGCGTCGACAATGGGGTAGACATTAATCATTTTGGATAAGGCGCAAAACTAAGAGTGGTACACTTCTGCCTTAGGCATTCCCGTGATTAATGTCGTGAAATTGTGGGAACGACATTATTGTATTCGGTTCCTCCGCTCCTATTTTTCCTATCCGATTCTATCGATAGGCCAAATGTATGGCCTATCAACTCGATAATTATTTTTCGAAATCGATAAAAGTACGTGCCTGTATTTAAATATGATTATTTAGTTTAACGTACTTAAGAGAAGCGGTGTACTTTGCAATTATTCTCTAGAAATTGAATGATTTAAATGAAGTATATTGTTTAATTTACCGGATTGTATCGAAACCGATTAATTTATTCCACGGCACAGGTTGACCAATTCTAGAAAATGATATTTTCCAAACAATATTTTCTATAATATCATCAATTATCTATGCAAAACATAGTTTGCTTCGGCCGTATATCTAGGTCGAAACAGTACTGTTATTATTTGAAGACGTATCGTATGATAGATTACATTATTTTCTTTACCACAAATAAGTTTTGGAATCACTTCTTTCGGAAATACATACAAATATTATTGCTTTTTTTAAAAAAAAAACATTTATATCTTGGAAGAATTAAAAAAGAAACGTATTTATAGTGTATTTGATAATAGTCTGGTGCAATTAAAAGCGAAATTCATCTAGAATAAGGTAGAAAGTAAACTTTTATGAAGTAAATTTAATTGGTCGTCAATCTGGAAAATCTCGGTTGTATTGTCTATTAAACTAGAGATATTTTAGCGAAGTATCGACTTTATTCTTTTAATCTACTCTATACAAAGACATTATAACCCGTAGACTCCCAACTTTACAGTTTAGTTCCTCTGATGAAACAGTTATTGAATTAGTCAAGGTGGGAGTGGCAAATTTATAGAACAATTCCTCGCCCCGTTGTAATCTATCCGAGATGGAAAGTTACTTTTATCCTATATCCTTAAATCTTTCGACCGCTCTTAGCTACTCTGATTTATAATTATAGTATGTACTTTCTTTAGACCAAGATGCTACTATATGTGATGACTTTCTCCTTCCTTTACGTATATCCTACGATATGATACACCGAGAATTTGGAGAAAATAATATTCTTTTCTACATTTATAATTATTTTTTTTTAAGAGTTAATCCATTTTTAACGAACAACAAATACAAGTAATGTATTTTCCTCTAAAAATTTGAGGAATACGAAATAATTTATTACTTCGAAAACATTTATTTTTAGTCAAACTAGGACATTAATATTCTAATCATAAATGTTTTTGAATTAAAGGACAAAGTAAAAAATTGTAGAAAATTGCATTTTCTTTTTCTTCTTCTTTTAAATCTTTATCTTAGTGGAAATTTATTGAATAAAATTCATAGCATCCGAACATTAAAAATCGCTTTTTGATAGAGTTGCTGAAAGAAGCATTTGGTGGAATAACGTGTCTCTTAAGATTAATTAGACTATAACGACATTTTAAATAACCCAGTTAATTAATTTAGCATTACAAATGTATTCGAAAATGAATATCAAGTTAGAAATGCACTTAACTGGATATTTTTCGGTGAGAAAAGGTAGTTTGCATCTTAGAATATATATTCTTGTGCGTATCATGTCTTCTAATGTTTCGCTCGGTTTATTTTCTTCTAATTTTGTTGGCGAAGATCGGAATAAATCCAATTTTCTGTTGCTAAGTCATATCTGTAGCTTTTTAGGTTCACCTCGGAGACGTGGCCATAAGGATCGCTTCGGTTACGTTCTTAATATCAGACATCGAGCCAATAATAGGGAGTTATCGATGTTACGATCGGGAAAATTGGCACTGGATGTCATTCATTCATATATGTCTCATTAGAAGATTTTTGGGTGGGGTGTGAGGACAATTCTCTAGGGATGGAAAAACGGAAGTGCTGGCGTGTATCTGGATAATGATGGGATGTGAAATTAGCTCACGTGACGGGAAATAGAGACACCATCAAATATCACCTGGCGACCCAATTGATAAACCTGGAAAAGTTGACATCATTAAATGTTATATCGGAATAATCTGGATTCTGTGGAGAGACTATTAAACGAAATATAGTATAAATGCAAAGAAATTCGCTACGAAAAGTAGGAAATGATTACTCGAATTTCTAAACACGGCGCGTTTAAATTACACATAATTGAAGTTAAGAAAGCGAAATACCATTTACCAGTTTACCAGTTAATCTGTTTTACACTCGTTTGAAAATATTTAAATGATTAAATTTACAGTTTCTACCCGAAAAGGTCACGTCGAAATGCTAGTTACACTAAATGAATTGCGTATGAATTTTCTGCGATCACCTATCAACCGATGCAGGTGATAGAAGAAAATTGATGTGAACTCGCGTGTTTTTATAGGCAAAGGAGGAGCGGAATAATTAAACAAAATTCGGTTTATTCGACACGCTGTAGACTCTGGCAGTGACATGCGGTACGAATACTCAGTTTGCATCGCCTCCACATGAATGTGACATCTGACGAAGACTTTATTAATTATTAACAATGTATACTGTATTAGCTTTGTAAAATGTCGAATCTGTTAAAGGCTTTATTAAATTTTGCTCGAATCGGATGAATTGAATTTTATAAATCCATATTTAGGAACAAGCGAGAAAGAATTTAAGATTTGATCTGAATTGACTAAGAGTCAATTCGCCTCAAATCTAACTATTCCTACATATAAAAAGTCATTTTCTTCAAGAAAAACTGTCAAAATTAATGTATTGTGTAAAAGTAATTTCTCTTGGCTGCAAATAGAATTTCCTTTTCCATTCTCCAAGCAAAACGCTTTATCATATTTGCGCATTGAATTTGGTTGGCAGCGTGGCACAGGAAATGACATCCACCCCCCTTCTGTAACTTTCCTCGCTTCTGTCATCCTGTACTTTTCCTCCAAAATGTTTAATATTTCAACTTCTGTTTCCTCCGGCTGCTTGCATTGTTAAATGCCAACAGCTTTGAATTTTCTGCTTGTTGCTGCTATCAAAAGAATTCTTTGCCCCTTTGAAACTTTCACACCTATTCAAGATATCTTAACTGTTCGATATCTGAATCATAATTAGATATCAACAAAACACCAATATTTTAAAAAATAATTTAAAAACTTTAATACTTTTCTTTTTTATATATATAAAATATAAACTGCGCCAAAAGCGTGTGGTATATATTTTGACACGCGAAAAGATTTCGCGATGGAACCTTAAATTAATATAAAATGAAGTCTTTGGAGATCTGAGGATTTTTATGTCTGTAATATAAGAGTTTGGCTGTTTCGAGTTTTCAGGAAATATCTTTGTCCAGCTCCTGCAACAAGATAGTGATCCAATGTGAAGAACCTTCTCCCTTGGGAGTCTCTACGAATTCAAACTGATATCGTTGGGATAGTTATTATCCATTGTATGCTTCACAATAGAGATATTATATTCTTGATTACAAACACCCCCCTCATAATACGAGAAAGAATTCTTTAAAAGTATATCAACTTATTCCCAATTTAACAGACAAATAACAAAAATAAAACGTTTGGAATCAGAAGTCTTTATTTGTTATTATTATTCTTTCTCTTTCAAAACAATCCTCGAAGATAGAAAAAAAGAAGAAAAGAATAAAACGAATTTATTAAATTATTTATTTATTTTTACAATGATAAAATTAAATAGAACTTATCCAATATAAATTGAAAAGGAAAATCAATTTACGCTAGAAGCTCTGTAGACGAAAATAATAATAATAATAAAAAAGAAAAGCAATATTCACTTCTTTGGGATTTATTTCAATAATTAATTTCGATTTTGTAGCTTTTATTTTCCAGATTTCATTTTTAAAATGGAAATAAATTTAAAAAAAGAGGAGAAATTTTTAAAATTTGAGTTGCAAAATGTCAATAATCTCAATAAGTCAAACATGATAAAGTGGTAGAAAGTTAAAGACAGGTTTTTGGATATCTAAAAAATAAAACCAATCTATTTATTCTATTCGTTTAGCGATTTTTAAATTGTTTGGTTGAATTTTTCCTGTTGGTACTCGAGAAATGGTTACGTTGTAACCAATAAAAAGCCAACGGTAAAAAAATCAATGGCGTAGAAGGGTCAGGAAACAGACCCATATTCTTATTGAACTGACCAGCAAACTTTGTCTAAATGTCACCAATGAAACGACTAGGTATACCTTTCCTTCACTCTATTGATCATAAGTTTCTGCTAGATTTTCTTCCGATTTCTGCACTCCTATCTCAAACGTTATTTATGGAAAATTTTAGAGTGAAAATTCAAGAAAATTATTTAAAATCACCCTCTGGACTTTTTTAAATATTTAAAAAATTAAATTACACAGAATAATAATCCCAACTGTAACGTTAAAGAAATTGAAAGAAAAGAAAAAAAAATTGGTTCGACATCCGATGCAATCATAACATAAACAGATATAAAAGTGCAGATTAAATTATTTCGGATCGAAGTAATAAGATTTTAAAGTAATTTAAAATGTAATAATGTAAGTTTAAACATTATAAGAGCGGAAAATGAAGAATTAAAATAAGAAAGAAAACAAACTGGGCACTTTCAGACTGTCACCAGATTGTCATTTCGTAGCCGAGAGGCTCTTCAATCCAGTTTACTTTAATGAGAGGATATCAGAAAATTGTTGAAGCATGCAAAAAATGACTCCTAGAGAGAGAGAAAAAGAATAGTAGAGATCTTCTCGATCGGC